AAATAAGTATGGGGGTATGTTAGGTATTCACTGTTGTAATTGATTTAGTGTTTTGTAACCTAATGTTGTTACCTAAAAATATAGTGGTCATGTGCCTATGTAATAAAAACTAGTACAACAACAACAACACGTGTTTCTCAATTCAGAGTAAAACGAATGTTCAATCCCCTTAGAACCTTATTGACCCCTGAAATCTACAGTACGCACCATAGATAAATTGCATACAGTCGCTAGATGTACTGCGAGATGTAGAAGGCATATTAACACTATCACATAAACTGATGTCCGGTCTTGCAAAGTTGTCGATACAGAGCTTATTGCCCCACGAAACCCCGTACAAAGCAAGAAAACATAGAAGGAAGAATACATTGACCACAAAACTTTTCAGATGTATGGCAGTACTAGAATGTGTCCGCTTATATTTCCCATACTTCCTTTGCCTCGTACATGTTCTGTATGTACCGATTCTAACCCTATATGCCATTAAGTCAATCCCCATCGTTATTTTTTCGAGGTTACAGCAATACTCGAATTTGTGGTCCTTTTACGCTTCCGTAGAAAAATAAACCAATACTATACTGTCACAGGTATGATAGTTTATAATAATCTATCTACTGGACAATAGCATTTTGTTACGGGTGACTGCTCCACACTGTTAGTCAATATATATGTATGTATGATATTTACCAATATTTACCAATTCAATTCAATAATTATCCTTCCATTATTTTATTATATCCTATCCAAACTCTAAGACAAAATAACCACAATAATGTCCATCGAATATATAACACACAGATGTCAGATTTATACTATTCAACGCTGTATAACCATAAAAAATTAAGGAAATTCCTTGACCTCAAAAATAAACGTCCGACCTATACTTGCACTACACTCTTTCAATAAATCTAATTGATTTAATTCATGCAAATATCCAAATAATGACCCCTTGGTCAATTTTACATTTCTATCAAAAGTTAACTAATCTAATGGGAATTGAATTGCCTCGAACTTCCCTATGGGATACTAGCACACTTCCCATAAACACTTTATCTGCTGGCTATTTATTTTCCGAAAAGCAGGAGATGCCTACTGATGAATTAATTGTTCCAAGATTTATTGCTTTACCAGGTTTAACAATGTCTGAATTTACTTGAATTGATACCTTTGACCGTGTTATAATTTTCACAAATTTTAATGGCACCTTCTCCACAATTTCTTTTTTCCATTAACCCTCATTTAATTCCAATCAAGCAATAAATTAAGAAATATTTTTCATTTAAAGTCTTATCCTATTCATCTATCTTCATGAATATGTGCAATGAAAACAGTGTACTTAAAAGTCTGACAAAAATTCACACTGACCAACTATAATTTATAATCCATCTATGTCATTAATCCTCTGTAGATAATGATTCACAATTTTATCTCTCTGTAACATGGCTTCTTGCTCTGTTTTTCTAATAGCTACTTCTAATTTTCTGTTTTCTTCTTCTGCAATTTTCAGTTTTTCATGTAATAACTGAGTTTTTGATACAAATTGTTCTTCCACAATAATTGAAGCTGCACCGGTTTGTTTCTTTGGTCCCATTTTATTAATTTTATAATGTACAGTTCAAATAAATGTCTCTTCAGATAGTCACTTTAAAACCTTTTCTAAACGTGTTAAAGTCCAAACATCCCGTTCGCTGCCACCAGTGTTATAAATTCTTCTCTCTCTCGTAATTTATAATTTCTTCTACTTCCATAATTCCACATAAAAATACACAATAACTGTTCTTAATTTCATTTCACTGTTTATTTGTTGAAAATGTTCTAAATTTCTACTCTACAATTAATAATTAAAGTTACAGAGTTTTTCTTCCTCGCACATGGTTGATAAGTCACTGAGAATTAACTCTCAAAAATCCCTATCCCGACTCTATCTCTTACAATCTCACTCTTGCATTTTGAATCTCGTTCCTCAGTCTTCAATTTAGAATGCCCCCAAAAAATCTTGTCCCAGTATTTATATGAAATACATTGTCTCTCCATATTTGGAGGTTACCATAGTGTTAATTGTCAAATTTAAGCCTTCTATATTTATGACGACAAGTGTTGATCAAGTAACTGTACCAGAAACAAACAGACTGATTCCTGGAATATTTATGATGATAACCAATGATTGAGTTCCCTAAACATAACAATTGCAGGCCTCTTGTCCATAATTTATGCAGGTACCTGTTGACAGAGTTACCATACTAAAATCTCCCAGACTGGTACACAGTCTAGCCCCAACAGATTTATAGTAATAAATAATGACAACAAATGAGGTCTCAATTCTCATACAAAATCAATCATTAAATCAAACCTTAACCAGGTGCCTTGCTAAAACTACAACACCATCGACGCAAACATTTATACATTTATAACATTTATACTTGACTGAAAACCAACGGGATTCTCATCGTATCGCTTTCAATAAACGAGTGGAAATTAAATACATTCTTTTATAACCACCGTCAGGATTTAATCACGAAATGAGAGGAACGGAAACAATCCCTTTATTTACCAGCTTTAATCAATAAGCTTGATTATTTTATACGCGTCCAGTAATGTATCTTTAATTTGTCTCAATAAATGCACCTTATGGCAATTAAAAATAGTTTCTTATTTGGTTTCAGTTTTGCCCCGAGAAGAAAAACGCACCTTTTAAACCCCAAGAGTCACTAAGAACAAACATTTACCAACCAAGAGTTTTTCGATAGTATTTGGTATAGAAACAATATAAACTGCACTGCCCGAGCATGACCCGGTCACCCAAAGGTGTTCATCCGAGCAGTTTTTTCTTGAGAAGGCACAGTCATTGGCCTTCCTAAAGCAACCTAGTGAATGAGTGTAATGCCACTGACGGAAATCGAGCCCATAATGCAAATGGCAAATATCCTTCTGAACCCCTAAAATACAGTCTAACGTCTTCAGAAACAACAACTTTTGGTAGACACACATGTTGGTTGTCGCTGAGTGCTAGTGGTGTTGCTCCATAAAGGTTAGATATAAAAGTCTTTCTACGGGAATTTTGAAAAGGTAATTGCTTTACCAAGGGGTCTCTTTGTGGAGGTTTTTCGGGTGTAAATAGATTTGCCATGTTGTTTAATTAATTATATGTTTGTACTGAATATCATTAATAATATTATATTTACAGAGAGATACTAGAACACCGACAAAAACCTGTAACAAACACCTTTCTACCGGGATACGGACAAAAGCCCCTCCCCCCCCCGGACGAAAGCCCCCCCCCCACCCCCGTCTAAAAATGACAAGGTGGACAAAAGCCCCCCATGAAATTTACAAATAGGACAAAAGCCCCCCCCCCCATAAAAAAGGAAAGGTAGGACAAAAGCCCCCCCCCATGGTCAATCAAATTTACATATAGTGTATTAAAGTTGTGTTTTTTATGTGTTTAAAAGATATGTATGGACATCATATGTAGGTGACATAAAGCTAAGGATATTGAATTTGATCCCTTTACAAATTTACAAAAGTGATTAAACATTACTACTCTTCTGACCCTTGTTGTGTATATGAAAAGCTATGAATTCAGTATCGCATGCATGCATTATTTCATCTGTTATCATATTCTTTGTTATCACTTCAATATATACATTATAAATAAATGCATACAATTAAATATAGATTATGGGGTAAACCCAAAATGACATAATTTTAACTATTTTTAGAACAAATCACGTGACGTAAAGTATACCCGATTTTTGTACGTTAGACAATGATTTTTCTAATATTCTGATATTTTATAACCCTGATGAAGACTCGTGAGAGTCGAAACGTCGGTTATCATCATTAAATAAACCTTAAAACTTATCCTGTGTTGATTGTTTGTTCCACTTTTATTGTTTCTCTTGTATTATAAATAAACATTAAAACAAATTCTTTTCATTTTTATTTAAAAGTTTGTGTGAAATTTGATGAATTTGAGCACCTGTGCATGTGAAAAAAAGATGGGGGGGGCTTTGTCTTTTGATTGGGGGGGGGGGCTTTTGTCCTATGTGTAAATTTCATGGGGGGGGGCTTTTGTCGATATGAACCACTATTTTGTAGGTGTTTTTACCTTTTTAAAGAAATACAAATTGCAGTGCGTCTATCATACCCTTTACAAATAAATGACGTAAGAACTAATTATCGGAAACGGGAGCAATGCCACCGAACATTAACAAAGAGATTCAATTTGCACACCGATTAATGTCTACAAAAAAGTTCATATCTTAACTTTAAAATTGTAATGTCAAAATGTAAAACTAATTACATTCTTTAATCACCTGGCTAATACTTGACTATCAGTAAAACCAATTTCTTTCTCTTTTTGATACACTTTTTATTTATCTAAATGACCAATGGTAATATCAAAATTTAATGTTGAAATGAATACATTTTTGTAGCAATTTTTTTAAAAAAGAATGTTCCATTTGAACACAGTTCATAGTGGTTTCAAGATCCTGTGGAAACCCCTGTGGATAATTTTCACTAATTTATTCAAGTATTATGGTGAACGCCCTGCGGCATTATCACTCAGAAGCGATAACAGTCACTTTCCCGCTCAAACAGGTTTGTTAATTATCGCTTTAAAACATTTTCGTCTATATAAAATAGGCTGTAAAACCGATCTGTTCGTTTGGGATTACCAACTTCTGATAAATTACTAGTGGACAGTAGTAATTGATTTCTGATGTACAGCATATTTATTCAGTCACGTCCGTCGGCATGTTTTAACAAAAATAACATCTTATACATGCAGACGACATGCATTAAAACCCACGCAGAAGAAGCGTGCATACTTTAAAAAAAAACATCAAAACAGAAAAAAATAGTATTTCAATTCATTCGTGTAAAGTTTAATACATGTTCAACGTGTGAACCGCGTTTTCTTGCGTTATCGCTCGATATTTTTGAAAAAAATTGTAATATTTTATGAAGAGATTAGATACATAAATTTAAACACAAACCTTGGCTTGAGCCTCAGCGGTAAATCCATATCCTTTAGGTCTATCAGCCATTCTGAATCAATTTATCCAATTTAAACCAAGAGGTGAAAAGACAAAATGTACTTATTGAAATTATTGAGCGAGTGGACCATCGTACAGGATGAATCACGAGGCGGGACTGACGGAGTGATCACGTGACATGGTTTCCGCGTTACGATTGGTAACTTTGAAGAGTGAATACTGCAAAAATATCTTAAAAATGTTGATAAACTAATATTTGGTTGACTAGGACTAAAGAAATAGAACCGTCCTATACTTATAAAACCGCTGCATTCTTTTTTTTTATTAACATTTGATGTTAAAAAGAGTACATGCGCGTAGGTAGGTAAACTTAAAGCAGTGACGTACTATTTTTACACATTTTTGTTTGTTGTTTATCTGTATAATAAAAAAATTACCTTATATGGCTTTAAGCATGTAAAATTCTATCGATTAGGTTCTATCAATTATTTGACATGCCAGTGCATTTAGCTATATATTTGACACCATGATATATATCTATCTGATAAGCATAAAGATAAAAAAAAATAAAGTAACAATTAAGACAGATAAACACCCAGTGTCAATCAATTTATGCTAGTTAATATGTATTATTTTGTATGTGACGTTACATGATTATAATGAAAAAAGTCTATGTAATTGATAGCAAAACGAGAAGAATTTTATAAGACTCGTCTTTCGTTCGATCTCACCCTTTTCCATTATATAAAAAATATTTTATTTGTTGATTACAAATTATATACATTTTGGGGAATAAATATGTTTAAACCAAAACAACGCAACTTTAGTATTCATTTACAGCATGACCTTTAGATAAATCAACTTCTGTACCAGCTTTTTACATGTCAAGGAGGCGGATTTGAAAGTTGTTTGGATAATGAGCTTATATCTGTCTTCAGATTTAGAATTAGGCTGAAAAATAGAACAAAAAGGGTTTTAAAATTAGTATTTTCATCAATATTTATAGTCCCTTTATCTATATCTTTATCTATCTCTATCTATAGTGGAGATCTTCTTTCTTTGTTCTTAATTCAGAAACGCCTTTAACCCTATAGTCTTACTGGAAAAAACGGCTATTGTTTAATTTTAACTTAACAAAGCACTTTGTAACAAAGGTTGTTTTGTTTTTGTTGCTGTTGTTTTTATTGTTGTTGTTGTTCATCTTCTTCTTCTCCTTCTTCCTCTCCTTCTTCTTCTTCTCACTTAAATTAATGTACGTAGGTATCAACTTTAACGTTAACGTATAATCATATTGCAATATCGACGCGACTTATAAGAATTGACTTGTAACTATATATTCGGCGACTTTTGCCCCATTAACTCAGCATAAAAATTGTATTCATTCAAACGTTATGCCTGCTGAATATTTAAAGAGGCGATTATATTTTTAACTTCATTTTTTATTTTATAACCTTCGTTCATGTTCAATTTTTACTACTCTTTTTGTCGTTTGAAGATATATATCAAAAGTATTTCTACAAAGACAAAACAGCATGTGTTCCTTTGTCTGAACAAGTAGTTTTCTTCATTGTTCTAGTGTGCCACTTACAAACAACTTGAAAAATTATGATAATCTTAAAAAGGATGTGCGAAACAAGTTGCGCAAACATTCTTGAATATTCAATATTTATTTCAGTCTCATCAATGTTCATACATACAACAATATACATAGAACACATATAACATGATTTAAAAAGTACATTGCCACTCATATATTGAGTTATAAGAGACTTTAGTATCAATTCAACGAATAAAAAGACTTACGTAATTACTGCTATATATACTATATACATGCTTATATCGTTAAAGCTAAGAAGCAGACGCTAATCGTTAAATAAAAAATCATTAAAATACACGAAGATAAAAAATTGAATGTGGAAAAAAGGCACTATTGCGCAATTCAAAAAAAATGTGTTAAAGAATCAGATATCACCCCGATCAGATCATGTATGAACAGATTAGCATCTACTTCTTAGGAGAAGTTAAGAGATATAGATATCACATAAAAAGAAATTACAATATTTACACAGATAAAATTGTCTCCTATTTAAAATATCATTACAGGTTTTGGCACAAATTCTAATAAGTGAATGATTTGAAAATACAAGTTTCAGCTTATCAATATCCTGCATATCGTAGAAATTTGGTTCTATTGACAAAATTGTATTTAGCAAAGTAATTCTAAGGTCATTGTACAAAGGGCAATCGAAAATAACATGACTCTCAGTTTCAATTGCTTGATAAAACGGACATGTTCTATTTTCTATATTTAAATTTTCGAATCTCCCAGTTTGAATTCGAATAGGCGCTACCCCACAGCGAAATTTACAGTATGCTGAGCGATGCTGGGGAGGCATAATCATATTACAATAGTGCTCTGTGGTAAATTCTGACTTATATGTACAATAATTTCTAAGCTTGTTACCACCTCTACCAGTAACACTCGTGGTCCTATTGATAGTTTCAAGCCATTCAGCAATAAACTTGTTTGTCATATATGATTGTAAACCTTCTACAACGTAGGCTTTAGAAACATTTACATCAGAACAGTTGACTAAATTACAATCATTTATTTGCTTCTTCACATAAAAGAACCAGTTTTTACATGATGTACCAGCTTTAACACTTGCCCAAACTGCAATTCGCTTATTAATACGAGTAGAACGGGTGTTACAAATACAGGCCCAATAAGAAAGTATAGTTTTCCATTGGCGAACAACGGGGGCTGTTCTGAACAGCATTTATATAGGAGAAAGATCGACAGCCCCACACTGCTGCACCGTAACTTATTACAGGCCAAACTAAGGAGTTGTATAACTTAGTAAATACATTAAAAGGTACTCCACCTATTAATTTACATTTGGCAATTACCAAACCCAATGCACGGCTTGCACTTTGAGCAATTGTCCTGGCTGTTACATTAAAATCGAGGTGTTCGGTCAAAACTATACCCAAGTATGTATATCTATCAACAATATCGAGAGTTTCATTACCACATTTGAAAACAAAGTCAACCTTTTGTACAGAGGGTGGTCTAAAGTGAACAATATTACTTTTTGTACAATTAATTTGCATGTCGTTAACATTGCACCATTCACTCAAAGCATTTAGCAAAAGTGCAAATCATGTTTATTTTCAGCTAACAGAACAATATCATCTGCATATAACAAAATGCTTATAATTTCACTTCCTATAGACACACCAATATTCAAAGACTTAAGATACACAGCAAGGTCATTAATGTACAGATTGAACAGCAGAGGGGACAGGGTGCAGCCTTGTCTAAGGCCAGAATGTACACTAAACCAGTCAGTTTTATAAGAATTTACACGAACACATGACGAGACATTAGAATATAGTGATCTTACGGTAGTTAACATTTTCCCTGATATACCACTATCATGTAGTTTTTTCCATAACTTATTTCTATTAATATTGTCATAAGCTTTTCTAAAGTCGATAAATGCACACAATGTTGATTGCTTTAGCTTTTTCCTAGTATCTATTAGAGAACTCAATGAAGAAATATGATCAATAGTTGTGCGTTTCTTTCTAAACCCATTTTGCTCGTCTACCAGTTTTTCATTTTCTTCAGCCCAGGTACTAAGACGATTATTAAGAACCGAACAATATAATTTGTATACTGCAGGAGCTAAAGATATGCCTCTCTATGAAAGAGGATCTCTAGGGTCCGCAGAAGATGACTTGGGAATTGGGTTAATAATACACTTTCCCCATATACCAGGAACAACTCCGCTGTCAAAAATAACATTGAATAATACATGAAGAAAATACTCTGTCGTATCATTTTTCAAAACCTCGGGCGGGATATTATCAGCCCCACAAGCTTTTCCTATTTTCGCACTAGAAATGGCCTTTTTAACCTCAAAAATTGATATTCGTTCATTAAAAGAAACATTATCAGAAGAATCTTGCAAAAAATCTAAAAGAGGAGGTGCATCATACTCTTTAAAGAGAGAACTATAATCCGTTTTCCATTTTTGGAGTACATCTGTGACAGTAGACGATGCATCACCATTATCCAAACGTACTTCCATTGGTATTTGCTTATTTTTCGAATAGCCTATCCCAATTTTGCCTATTGAAAGTAGATCTACAAATTGTTTGTAAAAATGCCGAATTGGCAGTGTTGAAAAAAACAACTGTTTCAGTTTATTATATATAGTTTGGTTAAGTATTTTTGTAAGTCCATTAGTATTATTGTGTCAGTCTTATTACAGGTGTTTTATAGCACAGTATACCAATCGGAAAATCTTGGCTATCCGAAGTTTGACGGAAAGGTCCGGGAAGATGCGATTGCAACTCTGTTAAAATAAAATCATCTTCGTTTTCGTTCCGGTTGGGTTAGAAATGTTTTTCTGTATGTAAATAAATAATCGTCATGTGAATTTCAATAGCTATAAGTTCAACACCCTAACACTTCATCCTTGACGTTCCAATGCATATACATATCATTCAATGACATGCTCTAAGAATAGTGTGCAATAGATGTTTAATACTTTTTGTTTTTCAATAATCATATGATTTGATTTGTAACATCATTATGTATATGTTGATATCATGTATATATGTGGTATAAAAATATGTTTAATATTAAGTCTGCTATAGATAACTGATGCAACATTGTACCCATGCGACCAGTGCTGGCACAACCGTCTCGTATTTTCATGGTCTGCACTATATATTCAGTCAATGCATATTTAGAAATTCCCTAAAAGTGTGAATGGTTTTGCCTGCACTGCAAGATGGACAAGTTTATTCGTATATTTAGTGTGATAATGGTTAAGTTAAATTATAGACCTAGATTTAAATAAAGATAAAATTTATCCTGTAATAAATTACATAAAAAAGAGTATACATTAAAAAAAAAAGATGACGTTAAAGACCACCCATTGTCTGTACAATAATTCCTTAAAAGGTAATGAATTCTACAAATGTCCCATAATGCTTCAAATAAATAAGAAATGACTTATATGTTCTTTCCTGCTGCGTTTGTTTTTTCATTAATTTTCAAATTTAACTCGATTAAATATAACATAACATCAATCTTTATACGAGTTTACTTATTACTTTTTGTATATGCTCAGTGTGAAATAAAT